TTTATTTTATTTTTTCTGAAGGACTGAGAGACGACACCATGGTGGAGGAAGGGGCCAAATGTTCACCGGGGTACAGGAAGCTGCCATTGTAAACTTGGTTTTGGAAAATAATGAAATCAGATTACGAGAAATTCAAAGCCACATCATCCAAGACAACACCTTATTCAACAACATTCAACGAGTCAGTCTGTCCACATTGGCTCGCATTCTCAAGCGAAACCAAATCAGAATGAAACAACTTTATAAGGTGCCATTTGAGAGAAACTCTCAAAGAAACAAAGAGTTCAGACGAGCATATGTGGATGTAAGTACTATATTGACTGCAGTACACTACACGCAACATTGTTTCCCAGTGTACTGGATAACACCATATTGACTGATTTTTGTTCTTTGTTTTCAGGGAGTACTGGAAATGGATGCTCATGCAATCCCACATGAGTTCATCTTTATAGATGAGGCTGGGTTCAACCTAGCAAAGACCAGAAGAAGGGGGAGAAACGTCATTGGCCACAGAGCCATTATAGATGTTCCTGGCCAACGTGGTGGGAACATCACACTGTGCGCTGCCATCTCCAGTATGCATGGTGTCCTCCACCGTCATGCCAACCTTGGACCATACAACACAGCCCATATTCTCACATTTCTGGACAGAGTTCAAAACATTCTAGAGCGTATGAATGATGCAGACCATCAAAGAAACCGGTACGTTGTAGTATGGGACAACGTGAGCTTTCATCGTGCAGCCCCAGTCCAAAACTGGTTTGCTGACCACCCAACATTTCTTGTGCAATACCTCCCACCATACTCACCATTTCTGAACCCCATAGAAGAGTTATTTTCGGCATGGCGGTGGAAGGTATACGACCGGCAGCCCTTTGTGCGCATGCCTCTTGTGCAGGCCATGGAAGAGGCATGTGATGAGATTGATGTGGGTGCAATTCAGGGATCGATAAGGCACTCAAGGCGCTTCTTCCCTCGATGTCTGGCAAGGGAAGATATTGCCTGTGATGTTGACGAGGCGTTGTGGCCAGACCCGGCTGTGCGGCAAGATGCTACCTAATTATTTTTCTTGCCTCTTTGTTTTACTGTAATATATTTTTTCCGAAATTTTCTTTTTCAGTTTACTGTTTTTTTTTTTTGTAAGAATATTTTTGTTCAGTCCCATGTAAATACATCTGCTGTGCATATGTTGCACTGACTTGTTTACTGTAGTGAAAACAAATAAATAAATGTTGCAACAGCATGTGTGTGTGTGTATCTGCAAATATTTCTGTGCATGTGAACAATCTGATACATATTTTAGTATTATGGCAAAGCATACTAAAGATGGGGGTGCTTTTCATTATGCCCAACAGTGTGTAGTTGGTTAGACAAAAATCTGGTAATATGAATGAAGTGTGTGCCATTTCATGCAAAAGTTTGCTTTTGATAATGCTATGTGTAGTTTCGGTTGCAGTGCTTCATTTTGCAGGATATATGAGGTATTTTGCAGTTTGGGTGTGTGGTTTTGTGAATTGTGTTAAGTTTTTTGATAAAACCAGACTAGTTTGAAAAATTGTGTGTTAGCAATTGGGTGTGTTAGTAATTGGAAAAAACTGTAATATTGGTCATTTGTCTTCTGTTTCCATATGTGTGTGTGTGTGTGTGTGTGAGAGAGAGTGTGTGAGTGTGTGTGTGTGTGAGAGAGAGTGTGTGTGTGTGTGTGAGTGTGCGAGAGAGTGTGAGTGTGGGTGAGGGATGTGAGTGTGTGTGTGTGTGAGAGAGAGTGTGTGAGTGTGTGTGTGAGCGTGTGTGTGAGTGTGTGTGTGAGTGTGTGTGTGTGTGTGTGTGTTATATATGTATGTGTGTATTTTGTATTTATTATATTTATATGTGTGTGTTTGTGTGTGTGTGTATATATATATATATATATATATATATATATATTAATATTGATCTTTTAAACCTTTTCAGTATAGTAAAATTAAATTGTGTTATAAAAAAAGTTTTTGTCCCCATAAAATAATCTACCAAACAGCTGTTAATATCAAACAAAATGTTACTTTTAAATTATACTTTTGATTTAAAAAAAAACTGGATTATTCTGATCCCAGCGGAAGGGTGGATTTCAGGAACAAAAATATAATAAAACTTAAAAACTGGTCCTGTAGCATATCCCCAAACAGCTGTCAATATCAAACTCAAATATTATTTTTAATTTAAAGTTTTTGAGTTTTTTTTTATCACTGATTGTAAACTGCACTGGCACAATCATCAGAGATGGAGCAGTCAGAAGTAGTTATGTGTGTAAATGCAATGCAAAACATTGGCTTTTTTTCCATCTCGTTTCCATCGGCATGTCCCTTTAGGGGCTCCGTAGAGCACTCGTAATCCAGATTTGGAAATCTGAAAAAGTCAGGGTGATCCAATCCAATTTTGCTTTGAAAAACCAGAACCAAAAATATGATGGAGCATATATATATATATATATATATATATATATATATATATATATATATATATATATATATATATAATCAAAAAACATGAATCGCAAAACATGGGATTTCCAAATCCAGATCATTCTGATCCAGATTAAACTGGGCCCGTCTGATTCAAACACATTTAGACTTCAGACATGTTAAAGAAGAGGACAGAAATTGACAAGAAAGGAACTGTAACAGCAGCATTGAGGACAGAGATGAATCTGTCAGTGGTGCATTGTGGGTGTTGAGCTCAACATGACTGATGGGCCTCGCGGGACACGTTTATCTTCTGCTTTACCGTCTGACAGGCAAACCACACACTCAGAACATCTCAGAGCCGCCTGTCGTCACACGTCGCACACATTTACAACGTCCGAGACAGAAACCAGGCTGAAAATAGCCACACACACGGAATAATTAGGCCACGCTCTACAAGTAGGTCCTGATATGTGGAGCAGCGGGAGCCTCATGGAGTGAGATTTGGGTCGAGACACAGACGGGGATTATACTAAACTGCTTTTATTTATTACTGTTACAGTGTCGGGAATGTCCGTCGCTACTGAAACAGTATTTGCTGCTCGTTCTCTGGAATCAGTGTGAATTGTATTTATATTGCATTGATTTGATTTCTATTGATCGAACCCTAAATGAGTGGGATCATTTCACACTGGAAATTGTTATACCGTGCATATAATTAAAATAGATAATCAATCAGGGCTATTATAGTTAGCTAAGACTGAAACTTAAATTAAAACGTAAAAAAAAAAACATGCAATAAAATTAATGTTACCTGAAATAAAATATATATATTTTTTAATTCAGCTAGTTTCAAAGGTAACATTTCTTATTTTAATTTAGTATAACTTGATATATTAAAATAACTCAAACTGATTTATATATATATATATATATATATATATATATATATACATATAGACATATTTAAAAAATTCAAATCATATAAATAATAAAAGTAATGTTTTGTGTCTAAACTAATACTTGTTCCGGACAATCACTTCAGCAAAGTTTGCACTCTTTTCTGATCATTTTGGTTTTAAAAATAAAAATGTGTTGTTAAAAAGTAAAAAGAAAAGATTCTGAAAGCTTTGAAGGAAATCCCGTAATAATTTAATATGGCTTTACACTAGTAACAATAAATAGGGTATTTTATGATACAATATGATTAATATGATATTTTTAAACGATGGTTTCATTATAAATATGGTGATTATCTCTAAGGTATTAACCATCTGAATCTAACCATGTCTACAATTGGAAAAGTCAGCCAGATATTTATGATCATGGTAAGTATTGTGTCTTTAACAGCAGGGGCGCTTTTTACCTCAAATACCACACTTTTACATATTCTTCACTTACAGAAAAAACTACTTTGTCTCAAAATGAATTTTGGTCATTTTAAAGATTTTCGTGTGCTACATAAATCTATAAACGTTTTTTAAATGTTAAAGTTTTTTTTTAAGTGCTCTGTTAGAAGCAGTGCTGTTGGTAACGCATTACAAGTAACGTGAGTTACGTAATCAGATTACTTTTTTCAAGTAACTAGTAAAGTAACGCATTACTTTTTAATTTACAAGAGAATATCTGAGTTCCCTCTCAGTCGGTCACTCTCGACGTCACGTCGGAGGACCGACGAATTGGGATCTCGCTTAGAGGGACCAATCTACTTTTAAAAGTAACTCACGGTCTGTGACACAGATGTTGATCATTACAGATGCTGAACGTCTGTGAAAGGAATTTGAATATTTAATGAGAAGGTTAACTTCAGCCTTTAACGTTTATCTTTTTCTTTGAATAATTATGCCCCACTTCTTCAGACCTCAGCACTAAAATTGTATATGCAAATGATTGCACTTGTATTTTTCAGTCTGACTTTTTTCAGGGTGTATAATATCACTTTAGTGTGTTCACGCTCATATGAAAGTGAGAAGACAGATTATCATGTGGGACGGTCATTAGCATAATCTGAACCATTCATATTTTAGCATAATGTCAGAAAGACTTACTACTTACTAAAGGTGCTATTTGTTATTTTACACCATATTGTGGAGGAAGCGTTATTATGGATTATGGACTCTATGTATTTGAGTTATAAACGTCTTAATGCTGGATGTGTTTCAGCTTTTGTCTTCTCCAGATGTTAACTGATGGACTGGAGTGCTGTGGATTATTGTGATGTTTTTATCAGCTCTCATTCTGATGGCACCCATTCACTGCAGAGCATCCATTGCTGAGACACTGATGCAGTGCTACATTTTTCCAAACCTGATGAAGAAAAAACTCATCTACATCTCTGCTGGCCCGAGGGAGAGTAAAAGTCTAAAGTGTTTGCCTCTGGATTTGCAGCTATAATTTGTTCCAGATGTTTCCAAATGAATGATTCGCACACTTTCTGATTGCACGTTCGCTCTAAAGCGCCCTGATTAAAATGCTCAAGCGATAACATGCACCTTGTTATTATCCGATTAAACGGTTTACACGTCTGAGTTTCCTTACAGTGATGAGCAGCTCAAAGAAATTCATACTTTACTGCAAAACTGTAGCCTATTTACGTGGCTTTTGCTGGAGGCAGATGACTCGTTAAATTCACATTACAGAAGTACAAGCGAACGCAGGCGTCGATATTAAATGTCACTGGCCTTTTCAGGCAGAGTTTGGCACGGCGCTCATTTCCAGTTTTAATCATCTTTCTCGTTGGCGACAGTTGAAAGTGACAATAAAAAGGAGGCCAAAGGTGGCAGAGGATCAAAGCGGCGAGTCGCTAAAAGAGTCTGGCGGCCGCTGATAGAGATGCAGCATTGCTTTAGCGGCCTTCACACGTTCAGAGGTTTAATTTCTCCATCCTTCCCTTTTAACCAGGCCTCTTTCGGTCAATATATAATGTGTTTTCTCTGAGGACGCCGTCTGACATTCTCTTCAGTTTCACCTTTAAGGATGCACTTTCTTCTGCAGGTCTCAGTGGACACACACAAGTTCAGATGTATCCTTCGCTTTAAACTACATTCATTTTCCATCTCACGAGCGTCTGTGATGTGTGTGAAATGTCAGCGCAGTCATTGCCGTTTCGGACCGCTTCATTGTATTAGCTGCTGGTAGAGTGACTGAACATGGTTAATAGTTTGGAGAAATGCATTCTTAAAGGGATAGTTCACCCAAAAATGAAAATGTGATGTTTATCTGCTTACCCCCAGGGCATCCAAGATGTAGGTGACTTTGTTTCTTCAGTAGAACACATATGATGATTTTTAACTTTAACCATTGCAGTCTATCAGTCGTATAATGCATGGCAATGGCAACAGAATCTCTGAGAGTAAAAAAAACATGCGCAGACAAATCCAAATTAAACCCTGCGGCTCGTGACGACACATTGATGTCCTAAGACACGAAACGATCAGTTTGTGCCAGAAACCCAACAGTATTTATATCATTTTTTACCTCTAATACACCACTATGTCCAGCTGTCTTTGTGTGCGTGCACGGCATCCGGTGCGTGAGGTGTGTACGCGCACTGGCGTAGTTTACGCAAGCGCCGGAAGTGATCTCTCGCGCGTATACGTCACTCATTGTTTACACAGCG